CAATGTGCCAGTTGTCCCTCTGGGTTCTTTAATGATCTTAACCAGCGTTATGCAGCATGGTCTGTCCTGATGGTAAACCTTATACCAGAGAGGTAAGGATGGAAATATGTCAGGCTCTTTACTATAGCAAGGAGTTCTCTCCATATTACACAGTAGTTCCTCTCTGGTCTACTCAAAACCCTACTGAAGTAGGCCACCACATGTTCGTTTTCACCCACTTTCTGAGACAACACTTCTCCAATTCTCACATTACTAGCATCATAATCCAGTATGTACGGCAGTGAGGGATCTGGAAGCTTTAAAAGTGGAGCTGAGGTTTATCTTAGGTTTATCTGCTTCAGCCATTTCCACTTGAAGTCCAGAGTTGAAAACCACCTGGCTCCACTTAGGGCATCAAGAGTATCATCAATTCTGGGCAGTGGGTATGAGTCTTATTCGGTTATACTGTTAAGAGCCCTGAAATCCACACAACAATGTTGAGTCCCATCCTTCTTCTGGACTAACACAACGGGAGATGACCAAGGACTATCTGATTTCTCGACTATCCCTTTCTTATTTAGACCATCCATGACCTTCTCCATCTCTTGTCGCTTTGCTGGAGCTATTCTACTCGGAGGGATGGTGATTGCTTGCGTTTGTTCTGTGCTCTACAAGGTCTGTGCAGCCGAGGTCATGATCTCCTTTCGAAAAAACGTCTGCATAATTCGCCAAAAGTTCTCTAACCTGAAGAGCCTGTGATGATGCCAAATGGACTATGCTCTTCTTATAGAGGTCAGTTAAATGTTCTGGAAGTGTATGTACTTTCTTTAAAGTTGTATTTCTTGCTTTAACATTGACTGTCTCTATCTCCTGGCAGACACCCAACAATGTCCCTTCCTTAAGTGTCTGCTCACATTTAGAGAAATTGGCCACTGTTATGGGTACTACATGATGACCTGCCAGAAGTGACCTTCCAATCTTAAGATCCGCTGGTTTGGATGGGTCTTCTACTGTTTCCACAAGCATTGGGCTTCCTTGGGGATGTTGTTTAATCCTACCCCTAACTATCTTCTCTGACATAGAGAATATTGTAGTTGACTTAAGTGCTGTGACATGCAAATCAACAGATGCAGCAACACATACTGGAATCTGGCCTTTGTTGTTTCCAATCGTCACTTTATCAAAGTTAACTACACACTTCCTCGGTAGTAAATAGTCCAATCCTATACATTGGTCTTCAATGTCAGCCAAGTATACTTTCTGTCTGTTCTTCGTGCCCATGAGCTCAATAGTTAACCACACTGGTCCCCAAAACCTTGCATAATGTCTTCTCAAGCCACAGAGCTTCTGTACAACTTCTGGTACTCCATTGTGATCCAGCAACTTGATACTCACAAGGGTTTACTGAGATGCAGAATCTATGACAAAGTTGCACCTTTGGCCATCCAGCTTTCCTATCACGTAGACACTATGTGTACCTTGCCATTTTACACGTAGCTGTTGGGACTTTCACAATGGGGGTTGGTGGGTGTCCCTCAGCACCAACCACTACTGGTTTCTTGAAGCTGACTTATTGGTAGTGTTCTTCATACACTGATTCCTCATATGTCCTTCCTCTACACAGTTCCAACAAGCTTTCAGGGTAGCTGCCTTTCCTGCTGTGGCTTCTTCCCTGTGTTGAAGTTTCCAGCATTGACCTTTCTTGTGCCCAGGTTTGTTAAAGTGGCAGCAAAGTCCCTCAAACCTCTCTGAAAGCTGAC